TCTCAAAGTAAATATGTTAGTATCCCAAAGTAATAAAAACCATGCATGTTTTCATGTATTTGTCCATAAAAACGAAAACAAAACAAAAAAGTAACGAATTGATCGGGGTTTTATTTACAAAAACTAATCTTGGCACTGTTTTTGTCGTCTCCTGCTGGAATGATCGTAAATACTTTGAACTCTGCTGATCGTAATATACTCTTGGTATTAAAAGTCAAATCTGTTAAGAAAGGAGCAGTTTTTTTCTCAGTTTTTTCAAAATAAAATCCACAAAGTGGGGGTGGGGGACAGTTTAGAGGGACAACCAGAAGAGAAGAACAGAAATAGTGTGCTGAAAATGTATTTTACTTTGAGACTGTGGCAGTTTTCTTTTTTAAAATTGTTTTATATTTTGGGCAGAAACCCTGTAACATTGTATCGGCTCTACTTGAAACGATCTCTACAAATCATCTGTTTCATGTCGTTTGGGCGAAAATCCAAAACACACGTTTGATTTGCCTAATTTTTTCCCTCCATAAAGCAGCATTTATTGACTTCAGTGGATGATGTTAAGAAGATAAAAGTAAAGAAAACTGCCATCACAGACCTTCTGCTCAGTCTCAGGTTTGACAGGCGGGTGGGGTGGTGGTGGGGTGTCTTGAATTTCCAGCGTCACCTCATCAAACAAGAGCTCGAAAGTTGAGCCAAAGATCCCGCGTGTGAACAAACAATAAGGATGTGTGTGTGTGTGTGTGTCTCTGCATACTCATATTCAGTGCAAACACATAGGGTAAAACTTCCCATCTCGACCCATCAGCTCTGACGTTTCAATCAAAATGGTTGAATCTACAGTATCGACCGTCCCTGGCCACCTTGCTACCTCATCTCCTTTTTCAGTTCTCTGCTGCGAAGAGATCAGGCAGACAGACTAACATGCAGCCTGACGGCGGGGCCGAAACACTGCCAAGCCGTCCCGCTGCCAATCCGTCCCGCTGTTCCCACAACTCTGACCCAACCTCGACTCCCACCTGGTGTCAGGTCCTAGCATAGCCCGATGTACTTGAGATTGTTCTGGATGATCACGTCCGTGACTGCGTCGAATACAAACTGGATGTTGCTGGTGTCAGTGGCACAGGTGAAGTGCGAGTAGATCTCCTTGGTCTCCTTGTTGCGGTTGAGGTCCTCGAACTGCCGCTGCACATAGACGGCCGCCTCCTCGTAGGTGTTTTGGCCTTTGTAGTCGGGGAAGCACACTGTCAAAGGGATGCGTTTTATCTTCTCGGCCAGCAAGTCCTTCTTGTTGAGGAAGAGGATGAGCGATGTGTTGGTGAACCAGTTGTTGTTGCAGATGGAGTCGAACAGACGCAAGCTCTCGGCCATGCGGCTCTGTGTGGGCAAGGAGACAGAAGACAGTGGTCCATGAGAAAAAACATTTCACAGCTGAAATCAAAAAAGAAGCACCTAGCTACACCTGAGCAGCAACACAGTTTTTATGGCTGCATTAACTCCAGTGTGAGTCTCGAGAGGAGATCGACACACGAGACCTCAGCAGGAAGTCCAGATGAAAGTAAAAAGAGACAGACATGACAGTGATGTTCGCTTGAATAACCAAAGGTACGTCTTTTCTGTTGTGCCAACAGAGATCTGAGACTCAGACAGACCAAGACCTATGTTTGAACCCCAGCCTCTGAAACAGGCAATTACATCTGTTAGCACCAACTCACTGCCTGCACAGGCTGAGGACATGTTTGTTCTCATGACAGCACAACCTGACTTATCACCCGCTTCTGATGATATCATCCATTAAATGGACATTATTAGCCGTTATCAGTCCCATAGAATGGCTTCAGACTGTCAGCTGGTCAGAATGAGGCATAAAACCACTAAGGCTTTTTATGCAATCTGGTTAATATGAGGCATAAAGCCACTAAGGTTAGTTTTAGAGAAAATGTCATGGGCCACGATAAAGTAGACCGGACTCTGGCGGTAGCAGATTGTTGCATTCCAACATATATGGCACTGGTAACCCACTAGATGGCACAGTCGAGACAGTCTGAAGCCATTCTATGGGCTGATAACCGCTAATGACGTCCATTTAATGGACTGATAACATCCGAACCTGCTGAACTTATTGACTCAACTCCAGTTGAAAGGTGGAGGCGCAGGTTTTTTTTTTTTTTTACTAATTTTTGTGTGTTTGTATGCCAGTTTGTTAGCAAACTATCTCACACACCACTGGCTTGTTTTTAATGGTCTACTTTCAACTCAATTCAATACAGCAAAACACACAGCTGGACTTAGAAAACATAAAAATGTCAACTCAGCCTATTTTTTACTGAGACTGGGCTATAACTTGTTGTGGTAGAAGCTGAGTATTGGCCCCAAAAAATACATTACATGTGACGCATTGAGCAACATCTTTTCTAAAACCTTTTGGAGTCTACCTTGTTTGTTTATTTGATTAATTTCTGATGAACGACTAATGAAACTTTAATTGACTTCAACAAACACCAAAACTGTTACAACAATCGAATCTAAATTTAGCTAAAATTTGGTTTGGTAGAAGATGAGTCATCCAGACGTCTGGTGTTAAAGGACAATGCC